GATACAGTGCACTTTTGATTCGATACGATATATTTCAAAATGATTCAATACGGTTCAGTAAAAAATAATGACTAAATTGTGGCTGTGATACTAAAAGTCTGTGCAATTTTAATCCTAAAAACAGTGAAAATGTCAAACAAGTTTCCTTCCACTAAACAAGCAACAAAACTGTGGTGCTGTAACAAAATAATTTAGTAAAATACACCAAAAAATACTCTTGGTGATATATCAATACAGCAGTCCACGATATCGATACTTAAATGATATACGCTACTGGTCAAACGTTTTAGGACACCACACTTTTTCCAGTTTTTTACTGTTTACTGTTGACCAAAATGTATTCTTAACTTTTGATTCATGAAAGTGTCCACCTTTGGCAGATATAACAGCTGAACACACACTTTTACAATAGAAATCAATCAGAAAGTTCTTCCCAAGTCTGTTGCAGAAGTTCCCGTAAATGTGTGGCACTTGTAGGTTGTTTGTCTTTCACTCTTCTGTCCAGTTCATCCCAAAACCAGCTCGATGGGGTTTAAGTCTGGACACTGTGCTGGACACGCCATGTTTTCAAGTTTACCATCTTGTTCTTTTTTCCCTGAGGTAGTTTTGGCAGAGCTTGGATTATGTTTTGTTATCTTTTATCTTTTTTTAACCTCTGGCTGTTCAGTTTGTACCATTTCAAGCTCTTCACTGGACTTGCACGACATAAATTGCAATAAATACCTGGAAAAATTAGGGTGTTCTAAAACTTTTGACCAGTTTATCAATAAGAAACAAGCAGCTGACAGACCCTCAACCAGAAATGTTACATAGGACACCTTTACAAATAAACAGACAGTCAAAGTAAATTATGATTCTTCTCTTGCCATATCTGTCTTTCAAATACCTCTAGCTCTTGTACTTTCAGCAGTTGTAGAAGTTTATTATTATTATTATCAGTAGTAGTAATAGTAGCCAGTTAATCTAGTATGTGAGCTTCTAGTATTACAGTTATTAGAGCGTGGGCAGTGGATGTCCCAGCTGTACGCGGTAATCACCAGCGCCCTTGATATTTGACGTGAATGTGGATATTAACCTTTACTTCACTACAGTACCCCCCCCCCCCCCTCTTCCCCACACACATGCTTCTTACTGCTCCAGGGACCGCAGACTTTAAAGAGACTGCCCACTTCGGAGGGTCTGAGTGCCAGCTGGTGCCCGGGTACACGCTCAAACATCCCCAGCCCCAAATGGTGGCCTGTCACTGGGGTGGAAGAGGCTGTCAGTGGTCGTGATGGGAGCAGTGGTGTAGAGAGGACAGGCGAAAGGGCAAAGACCACAAACATCCTATTTATAACTCTGGACTTTGACGGACTAATGTAGGCCACTGGGTGCAAACTGGTGAGGTCTTAAGAACGGATAAACAAACCGTGATGTAAGCTCGTACCAAAATAGTGGACGCTGATAAGACCCCTGTGAGTCTATAGAGTTATGATGAAACGTTAGATTAGTCGACTCATCTCAAGGTCAAAGGCCTTTACCCGAATTCTCCTCATGTGATTGATCAAAGTTTGTAGTTTGCCCCTGTACAGAGATATTGTATCAACAGCTCCTGAGATCAAATAGGTCCGCTGTGTAACGTCTACATCTAATCATAAAGAGTTTTATAGTCAGATTATCAGGAAGTGCACTGTTTGCATGCTAGATGTTGACAGCAAAACCACTCCAATCTCTGAAAGTGCTTATAATAATGGGAATGTTTGGAATGTGTAAGGTAATTGAGGAATACCTTTGGACCACTGCAAACCATTTAGATTTATTTAAAAAAATTTTTTTTTTTATTCATTTATTTATTTATTTTTATCTAGATTTTAGTATTTTTTCTAGTTACCTCCGGCAAGGAGGTTATGTTTTTGCCGGCGTTTGTCTGTTTGTTTGTCTGTTTGTTTGTTTGTTTGTTTGTTTGTTTGTTTGTTTGTTTGTTTGTCTGTTAGCAACATAACTCAAAAAGTTATGGACCGATTTTGAGGAAATTTTCAGGATTTGTTGGAAATGTGAAAAGGAAGAACTGATTTCATTTTGGGGGTGATCCGGAAGAAATCCTGGATTCTGGATCACTTTGAAATTTTAGTTAACATTGTGGTAAATGGGGCCAAAAATTTTGTTTCTCAATATCTCGGTTAATTATTGACCAAACCCCATGAAATTTGACTCAGGGATGGACAATGGGATCCTCTTTCATATTCCAAATTGAAAGATACGAGACAAATATTTATGGAAAACACAATTAATATGAGGGGGACTGTAGTCCTTGGCGGAGGTCTGCGCTCTCTGAGTGCTTTTCTAGTTTTGATATGTTATCTCGTTGGATCTAGGATGTTTCATGAATTCAACAGAATCCAGATTTGTGTTATTTTTGACAAGATTCATTTAAGTATTCATCATTTACATAGAATATTTTTTTTAGGCTAGATTTGAGTAATTTTGATGAAATAACTATTTGGATCTAGAATGTTTCATAAATTTTAAATCTAGGTTTTTGTATTGTTGACTTTTTTTTTTTTTTTTTTAGTCATTTACATATTGGATCCATAATATTTCCTGAATTTAAAATAATCTGTATTTGAGTAATTTTGACCCGTTTTGATTAATTTACTTGGATCTAAAATCTTAGTTAAAGTAAAAGTTCTAATAAATTTAAATGTTGGATCTAGAATATTTCAAGAAAAAAAGTCTGTAAAAGTCTAGATCTGAGAAATTTTAACAAGCAAAAGAAAAATTGTATTGTGTTAATTGGGGGCAACAGTAGCTCAGTTGATCTGAAGGTTGGTGGTTGAAGGTTGAATCCCGCTCTCGACATGAAACATCATTGGTTGTGTGGGCAGATCCACTGACCCACAGGTTTCAGCTCCCACAGATGAATGATGTTGTTGTATCCTTGGGCAAGACACTTAACCCACCTTGTTCCCATTGTCTCTGTACACTGGTGTTTGAACAAGTGTGTGAATGGGTGAGAGGTTCTTTGTTGTAAAGAGTTTGAGTGCCTTGAAGGCGGTATCATTAAACACGTATCTCCATGGAGACATCAGGTGATTCAACCAGGCCATGTTACACATCAGATCTGTGGAGAAGCAAGCTCACAGTAAAGGTTTTGAAAGTATTTTGAGCATTAACAGCGCTTATAATTGAATAAATGTAAAATATTGTGTTTTTTTTTTTTTTTTTGTGGTTATTGTAGAAGATGGCAATTGATGGCAGACCCTCCTCCAGAAAAGTTACACAGTGCACCTTTAAACGGCCGGGGTAGCCTGTCAGAAGCTGTAACCGTAGTGTATTGCCCAGGGACGCTTCTCCAGGCTCCAGGTTATCAGCAGGATCCCGGTCGATACGTAAGAAATGCTTGATTAGCTAATTGTGCATTTGTTCAGTTTGATGGAGACAACAAGAGAAACGAGAAACCAGACTCTTACTAGTTCTTTGTAGTCCTGAGAACGCTTTGAGCTCGCCGTTAACTTCACAAACTGCTCTGTACACAGCTCTGGTGGTTTTGTTGTGTAATTGTATAAAAGAAACGTTAGTTATATTGCATCAGAAACCTCCATGTTTATAGTAAAAAGGCACCAATTAGTCAAAGTTATGTGAAAAACTAAAACGGAAAAACATGGAACGACTATTGTAACTTACGCCTTACACACTACAGTATCAGAAATGCAGTTGAGTTTAAAGATGCACTGCGTAACTTTTCTGGAAGAGGATACACCACGTGATGTTATTGCTTTGCCTAGAATATTTTTACAGTGAGCAGGGACGCCTCTCCGCAGATCTGATTTGTAACTCTGCTCAACGACGCCTCTTGCTTGTCTGCATGGAGTTCTGTTTAATGCCATGCTGTGGAACGTTCTAATCCAAACAACACGACTTCAGAGCTCATAATGGTGTGAACATGTGTTATGAGGACCTACAAAAAACAAAAAAAAAACTAGTGAATATGGCTTATAGGGACCAAATCTGCATATAATTAACATCATTCACACAATTTCTCTAATGACTCATGGGGACCTAGTAAAAAAGAATACATTGCAACAGAGCATTTTGAGCTTTGGAGGTGTGGACAGACTTATAATGCAGGATTAGACGTGGCTAAATTAAACAAAACACAACTCCAGGTATGTTTTTGAGGAGGTAACAGCATTATATACATATAACATATAATAAAGATGTAATATAGGACCTTTAAGACAAAATATGAATGAGAAAAAGACCTCAAAATGATACATGTAACAGAAAGCTGAACACCCTGTATAAAAATAAAAGTATAGTGTCTTCATCACATCTGAAGTTGCCTTTCTTTTAAAGCTTCATTATGTTACTTTGGCAGTTGTCATTATTTACTCCTGATGTGAACTTGGCTTGTTTTAGACCTTGTTTAGTTCAGGTCCAGCTTTTGTCCAAATACAGCCAAATAAGTTTTTAGCTGGTATGAAAACCACACATTTTTAGGTGCTTGCCGTCAATACGAGTGTCTGTGGTTTTGTTTAGGTGTTTGATTTTCACCAAAAAGTGAGAGTGATTTACTGAAAACTACTGTGACTAATTTTATTTGAGAGAGATTTGTTTAAGAGCACAGATCATCTCATTTGTTGTACTTCCAGTTAAGTCAAGTCTTTATGGTTACAATAAAGCTCAGATTAAAACACATGTTTAAATGTTTAAATGGTAAATGTTTATCATAGTTTTACATCAGCCAAGTGGCAGTTTTTGAAGAAAAGTTGAAAGAAAAAAAGTTGAAAATCTTAATACTGATATCAGCAAACATCAGTTATCAGGTGCAGAAGCAAGACACATGTGGTATATCTGTAAAGGCTTTAAAAATCATGTCTTACATATAACTATTGTTAAGTATTGATACTTTAGTAGCTGTACTGTAACTTTGCTTTAACACAATCTGACCTTAAAGAATCGACAAAGCTGGAACTACAAAACGTGAACTTCATAATACAATAGGAAATGTGAGGCAAGGCAAGACAAGTTTATTTGTATGGCACAATTCATGCACAAAGTAATTCAAAGTGCTTTACAGAATAAGAAATACACTAAAATCACAATAAAAATAAATCAAAACATAAATATTCATCATAAAATTAAGAAAAGAGAGACAATAAATGACAGAGAAGAGTGCGGAATGAAAACCTTTAGTTTTGAGTCTGGATTTAAACAGCGTCAAAGTAGAGTCTGTCTCACATGTTCAGGAAGTGAAACTCTGACTCTGTTTTGTATTTACGTTGTTCTGGCTGCTGCGACATTCATTCTGTACATTATTTGTTCTTGGGTTCTTTTGGGGTTCTGAAGATGACTTGCAGCCAGTTGAAACATGTCAACAAGGTAAATACATCTCCTCCTGTATTATCTTTAAAAGAACCAGAGAATTTAATGTACAAAAAAGACAAAATGAATGTTTATGGATTACAACAAATGAGCTGATTTTGTACTGTTACAAGTTACCTAGCTGCTGGAGTTGTGTTTGTTTTGTTTACACATGTTTGAGTAATATATTATTATAAGTCTGTGTACATCACCAAAGATTTACTGTGTGTCTTCTGTTTGGTAAATGTTCTAAATGCCCCCACCCCATTGTATTCCAAGTTGTCTTCCGTTCAGTGATATATGATCTAAGAATGTTATCCCACCATGTTCACCAAGCTGTTTTCATCTAATCTCCACTCTCATGTTGTACGGTTTGGGCGTCATGGTGAGGCCATACACTGGAGTGAAGTCAGGCTCTCCTGCATCCTCAGGCCAAATGAACTTAAACTTCTTCAGAAGAGTCACCATCATGAGGAAGAGCTCCATACGGGCCAGGGCTTCTCCCAAACACACTCGAAGACCTGGACAAAAACGTCGACCATTACCTGAGATACATACTTATACTCACAATTGTACATGTTTTAATGTTGATTGAACTTCTGTACCTGCGGAGAAGGGCAGGAAGGCGTCTGGTTTGACAAACTCTCCCTTGTCGTTGAGAAAGTTTTCGGGGTTGAATTCATGAGGAAACTTCCACTGTCCCTCCTCCCAGAGCGCTGAGGACAGGTTGGGGATGACAATAGTGCCCTAGAACCAAAGTGAAGTGACTTTATTACTGTATTTGTCTCATTTAGAATATGTGCAATTGTATTTATGAAGTATCTGCTTACTTTAGGAATAGAGTAGCCCATAAGCTCTGTGTCTCTGGTGGTTGCATGAAAAAGACTGAGGGGAACAGTGTCGGCAGTCCTCTGAGCTTCGTGAATAACAGCCTAAAAAAAGCAGATGATAACAGAGTATGTATTTCCAGTATAGTTACTAAATGTTTTACCTGGACATAAGGCATGTCGTGTCTGTCTTCAAATGTGACAAAGTCCTTTCCCTCCAGGACACGGTCTATCTCCTCTTGACAGCGTTCTGCAGGGGGAACAGAGAAACTTTTACTTTGGTGAAGAGGCTGAAGTACCCAAATGGTCCAAGCAGTTACATACAGAAGGCTTCATGTCTCTAAAATCTTTCAAGACAGTTTTAAAGGTCCACTATTTTCTGGAGGTCTGCAATTTTCTTGTCTCCATTAAGCAGTTTTTCTGTAATGTTTCACATTATGGCTAGCAGTGACTACTACTGACTACTGATTACTCCTTCTAACAGTAAGCTAAATACTACTCTGATTGTGTTATTTCAAAACTAATTAGAATACTGATTACTACAAGTTACTTTCAATTACTCAAGCACAGGCGACGTGCACAATACTCCTTAAACCAATATTTGTGTTATTTTGGTTTGCAGCCAAAAAGTATCTAAAAGTTGCTAGCCCAAGTTACTGTAATCTACTTGCTCAGTTTGTAACTACAGATAACGACGTTACTAAAAAGTTATTAAAACTAGTTACTCCCCAACACTGATGGCTAGTGCGTCACAAGGCCATGTTGAAAGTGTACATCTCCCTGGAGACAAACAAGGATAATGGATACAGGATAATGCCCTCCAACAGGAGGATGAACAACCACTTCCCTCACATTTAAACATGTAAACAATGCCGGTGGTTTACCCTGAATATGTGGTCTGTTCATGAGGTAGAGGAAGCCAAAGAGTAATGTGTTGGCTGTAGTGTCTGTCCCAGCCATGTACAGGAGCAGGCAGTACATCAGGAGTTCCTCAGAGGAAAATGAAGAACCGTCATTGTCTCTCTGTTGAAAGAGATAATTAAATATGAGCTCAGCATTACAGTTTTGGGGTAAATAATTTGGGGGAGTAAATAAAAAAAAATAAACTGGTCACATACTTTCTCCAGTTCATCCAGGTAGCTGTCCACAAAGTCCCGAGGTTCTCCTGGTACTCTGTCTTTTTTGTGTTCCTCTATCACTGGGATAATCAGTTTTTTTACTCTCTAAAGTATACAAATAACAAAACACATGACATATATATATATAATATTCTTTATCGTAGTTATTTGTATAATAATTGTATATTTATTTGTGTAATCATTGATGCTTAAGTTTGAAGGACAAACCTCTATTGCCTCAAATGCGTTAGTAAAAGGCAGTGGCAAGCAGCGAACCCAAGGGAAACTCTCATGAATCTAAAGGGGAAAAAATGTTTGGTTTCCATTCAGTTATTTACAACATAACAGTTGCAAACTTTATTCACTCACCAAAGCCCAGGGTCCGTTGTTCATTTTGATAATCTCACAGAGAGAGTTCACAATTGTTGTAATAAACTCCTCACCATGTTCATATCGATTATTGAACAGAAGTTGACAGATCACGTTTGAGGCGACTGAATGAAACATGATTTGAGGGCTAAAAATTTTTCCTAAAAAACAAAAATGCATGTTGGGTGTTGAGTGTCATGTAGTGGATACACCGTTCAACATACCTGAAAAACTGACTTGTGTTTTATAGAATAAATCATCTACCAATAGCCCCCCCCCCCCCCCCCCCCCCCCCCCCCCCCCCCTAGAATGGCCAATGCTCCCCCATAGCTTCCCCAAAGATTTCTGCCCCACTTTTATAGGGCATCAAATCTCGACTAAAAATGTTCAAATGGTTTTACATAGTAGTAATAGTTTTACATTTAAACTTGTTTCAAACAGCAAAGCAAACATGAGAAAAGGTGGGGGTACTGAAATACAAACTGAAAACTAAGTATATAAGAACATGTTTGTGTATAGCTTTTTGAAAATGTAAATGCTAAGATGGATATGTATTGCAGTTATCTCTAACTCAGTTTTGCCTTGTCAATTTTTATTTTTTATTTTATTTTTTCGGATATCTACAACAACATTCTTCTTATGCGTAACTGACATTTTAGATATTCACAACGACATTCTTCCCAGGGCAAATGACCATTTTCATTTTTTGTATGGGTTTCATAGTAACGGATATCCACAACGTAAGTTACAGATACTTAATTTGCAACTGAATTATAGATATCTGTAATTCCGGTTTGAGATATCTACAATTTGATTCTGATTAGTCATAACTCAAGTTCAAGATATCTTTAATTCACCTCAAATGAAGATATCTACATGCTCCTTTCCAGATATTTTAAATTAAGTTTTGACTAGGCGAAATGATATTGTAGATATCTCTAAGTGGAATTAAGACATCACTAAAGAGTTGTTGATATCTACAATGTTAATTCCGAATAGTCAAACTTAGCCTTTAAATGTTAAAATGGCTTGCCACAGTTTGTACGGATCTAAACTACAGGGCCAGCTGTTTTAATGCAGAATAAGACAGGATAATTTGTTGTTTATGAAAGAAATTATAATAATTAAAAAATTGCAGCCTTTGCGATTTGTTATTTGTGTCCATTCAAATTGCAATTTAGATTTTGATTGTGATTGTGATTTGTCTTGCAGCCCTCACTCCAACACTGTAAACTGAGCTGGTGTACAGACTTCAGACTATGAAGGTAGACTCTGAGGTAGAGAGCATATTTTGTTTTCTTTACACTTATTGCTCACCAGTATTCTTCTCCAGATAATCAATGGTGTACTGTAGTTCTCCCAGAATCCTCTGCTCCATCGACTGTTTGCCCAAACCAAAGTTCCTCAAGGTCATCAAAGTAAAGCGACGATGCTCCTTCCAGGTTGGACCATAGTCAGCCAGAAGTCCACCTACAGCAGACCATAGTTTTATTATGCTTTTGGCTAAATCTCACAAAATACAAATAGAGAACATGTTAGTTATTGACCGAAATGTAAAAATTCTCAGTTCTTAGCTTAGCATTACCTCTCCTCTTAGTGACAGCAGTCATGAACAGGTCCTGATGTCGTCCAGCAAAGTCCACAGCCTTGTTCACCAGAGCTTCCTTCAGAGCCTGGGTGCCACACAGCACCACAGCAGCGTTGCGTCCCAGGTACAGGCTGTAGATGTTCCCATATGTCTTCCTCAACTGGAAACAATACCAAACCCAAAAAAACAAACATAAGCGATTCTGCTCTCTCCCTTTTCAGACAGAAAATTATTCCAGATAGTTACAAAATTTCAGTTTTCATACTTATCAACAAACGTTTCTAAACCCTGATAGAACACATTTTAGGTGACATATCAATAAAAAGTGTGAAGAAACATTCAACAAAACTCAGACACGTAGCATTCGGCGGTGCAGGCGGTGCGATGCACTGAGGCCCATGGAACTTTGAGGGCCCATCACGATCTAGGACTGGCCCGTCTCCCCAAACTCCGTACAGACGGTGTCAGCGGCCCCCCCTAGCGGCCACTGGTGCCCCACCCCCCAGCACAGGCCGTTATTATGACTATATTAAAATTATTTTGATTTGTGCATTTCACTTCAGGCTGAGGGCCCAAACTTTAGCGCCCAGACCAATGATATCACAGTCTCTGTTTATTTAGTGTTGTGTGATTGGACAACTGTCCTGTCACTCACTCACGTCAACCTGCTGCGTCAACTCGTAGCTGCTTCACGATTAGTGGTAGCTGCTACTTTAGCCTAAACCTTCACACAGGAAATGGCGAGGAGAGAGCCAAAGAGCGACACACTGACACACCTGCCACTGGGACCCGGGACTGTCGCTACCGGGCCGGGGCTCTCGCTGCCGCCGCCGGGGCCAGGACAGCCGCTCACTGCTCTACCCGCCTTTGCCCGCTCGTTTCTGGGTGTAAAAGTTTGACCTGAGCATAGCGCGCAGAGGCATAATTCTACCTGGTGTCCTGGTGCTGATATGGACTGACCGTAACTTTCAGATTTAAGTGGGAAGTGGGATTAAGACTAATTTTACAACCATCTTGTGCTCCCGAACCTCGCGTCACGGACCAGACTAGACCAGGATTTGGACCAGTTTCATCTCTTCATATTGGAAAATACACTTTTGGAGACAGAACCAGTGGGACAGTGGATAGAGGAAACACTCTGCTTCAGTCTCTGGAGAAGGTAAGAGGCTGGTTTTCATTAGTTTGCGGCAAATCTGAACATGGAGCCTCACAGGTAAAGAGTGTTATAGTGTTGATAGTTAATAGTGCGTAAATGAACTTGTGGGTGTGATGGAGCTGCTCTGTTTGTTCTGTCCTGTGCTGTAGGAGCGGCATCTGTGTTCATGTTGTGATCGTAGCCTCTTATTGTAGTTTTGCTGACGTTGTTGGGTCTGGGTGTGAGCGGTGTTTTACATTGTGTTGTTGCGTAAAGTTTGCGCTTGGCTGTTCATTGTGCTCTGATCGATATTGTTCAGCCAATACTAACCAAAATGTCTGTTTCTGGCATTTGTTATAATACTACAGCCTATATATATAATACATATATTATTCATAATATATATTTATAATTTTGGCCTTGGTGCCCCTCCCAAAAATTTTACCACCAGCCACCACTGGTCCTGTTTTAGTAATGTTTTAGTCCTGGTTTAGTTCCGGTCCCTCAAGTCTCAGGTCTCTATAAGACAGTACTAGACGGCGTACCCTCGCGTACCACGCACACTACAGCCCTGGTGCTGCCCAATTCGTGGCTATTTCTTGCCCGATTGCTTCTTTCAGTGATGTTGTTCAGGGGTGGTTTTGACGAAGAGGCTGTTGTTTAATGTTTACAACCAGTGTCCAGTGTCGGACCTTATTGTTTTTTAATAAACCTCAACCTGTATAGAGAAACTAACTATACTTTAAGGCTTAAGCTGTAGAGTTAGATCCTATGGACAGTGAATATATGTTTGTCACACAGGGATGGGTCGAGATGGCGTAAGCTGGAGGGAGGGCCCAGCCCAGACTTGCACCGGGGCCTTGCGCAACTACGCTACGCTACTGGCAAAACTGACTGAGAAGCAATCTCAATTTAAAGATGCTGTAGATTCATTGATTTTTACTGTCAAAAAAATGTGAAAAACATAACTAGTTCATTTTAAAGGTTTGCAGTGGTCCAAAGTAGCTCACTTTCATTATGCATTTCTTACATCCCAATTTTTTCATCACATAATGCTAATTCCCAACTCACACCACTTCCCAGTTGGTAATGATAAAAATGCTTTATAATTTTGTGAACTGCAGCAAGTGGGGAGTGGAAGGGTGCATTTGAGGTTACATGGGCTGGACCAAAGAGGGGGACACAAACAGAACTAAACAAACAAACAGCTAAAACAAATATGGACTGTACTTTCAACCAGCTACTCTTATGTAATATAAGCTGAAACCATGTTTTTTAAAAATATATAAGACACTGTGTTACAGAAATATAAATATGGACTTTGCTCATATGCCTGGCAAAGAAACAAATCTGAAATGTCTAAGTAAACAGGGAACCTTTGGAGTGCTTGCATGGTTTGCTCATTAAAGCTGCACTAGGTAACTTTTCTCCTGAAGAGCCTGCTACATGTTCGTCTCCACGGTAGTTGCATTATTATCATTATTATAATTCTGAGTAAGTAGAAATAGAAACAAACCTCATACCTTCTCTATGTCATTTAAGGGGTTACTTGAGCACATTTTGTGTATGCTTCCCAAAAATGGCAGTGCGATGGGTCCAGGAGGGAAACCCTTGGGTCGTCGAGACTTGAGATGGATGATGATGAAGACCATGAAGATGCCCAACAGCAGCAGATAGGCAACCATCGTGACAGGAGGTATAGAAGATACAGGAGATACAGGAGATATGGGAGTCGACCAGTGAAATCACGACTATGCGAAGAGAGGCTGGTAAAACTTGTGAAGCAGTATGTAAACAGTTTGTAAAGCTCCACCCCCTGTGATAGTCTACTATTTGTGACATAAAGGGAAATGCTAATGTCAATGTTTCAAAGCAAGTATGTAGCTTTGTGGGAGTCTGGCACCAAATGATGTGTGGGAGGGGGCTGAGGGGCTGGGGACACTAACTGCTAAACTACCACAGAGTGTTTCAAAAGGCCTAAGGTCATTAAACGGTATGTCTCAATGCTAATAATAGACTGGATATATAAATGGACATGGCTAAACCACTAACCACTACGGTCCAATTAGGAAGTGAGCATGGGGGCACTTCTGGTTCCACTGACTCCAGCTCCAATTGACTTTACGCTGAAAAATTGTCACCTCTCTATAACTGCTGCAATGAAACTCATCACTTTGGTCTTAAAATGTTTGTATTAACCCACTCTGCATGATCTTGGTGTTTTTATTTTGTTATAAAAATTTTTTTTTATAACTAATATGGAACTTGCTCCAAATTCACTCCTATAACTGCTAGCCTGGTGAGCTTTCTTTGACTGGAAGCCAACCCTATGAATGGCCTCATGCTTCCTTTTAACTGATACAGTTGAAAAGTGACTTTTATAGTCACATGTCGCTTGAGACTTTTACAGACTCACAAGACACACGTGTGCGTGGACACTGCTCTCATCACACAGACACACACTATATAAAAGCCTATGGCCATTATTTCATTCACATGATGTTGCACATGTGGCTGTTGTGAGCAGCAGTGCAGCTTTAACGCACAGACAGGTGTTGATTTGGACAGTGGTTTCTGTCTCTTCACTCTTTCATCACGTCTCTCTCTCTTCATCCCCTTGTCTCTTGCTCCCTATCACATTGCAGACACCTTGGTGTGGATTTTATAGATTCTCGTTAGGGTACATGTGAAGAGGTTCGTCACAGCTTTACTTTTATGCACAGCAGAACTTCAGCCAATCAAACTCCGTGAGTTATTGTTGTGGCTCCTCTCTCACTTAGTCAGACCATAAAAAAACATCAAATTTTTGGCCCATTTGCCGTGCTGTGATGTCGTTGCTGCCTTGAGTCACCACCAGGGCACACAAAGTGCAGGTTAAACTTCAGGCCTGAGTTACCTTTGGTCAGACTAAGGCTTATGTCTGTGCTCATTTCATATTTCAAACACTTTTACGACTTTGTTTGTTTAACATTATTACACGTCATATCATATCATTATAGATGATCTAATTGATCATCAACAGTTTTGGCCAGGCACGCGAGGTCCTCTAAAGGACACAGCACAATCAAGCTTTTACTAACAGTGGTAAATTATCCAATGTGGGTGGAACATCAAGACATGGAAGCAAAGTTTGTGTTGTAGCCTTTAAAAACACCATCATGCAACCTTGTGCAGACTTCATTGTTCAGTGCTGTAGTGCTCGCATGAAGCATGTGCTAAAGGACAGAATCGTGCTTTTAAAAACAGTGCAAACTTGTCAGATGTTAAGAGTTCTGTCGCTAAATATATCCAAATCACTCGATATTATCACGATATGCTTCTCACGGTACAATATTTTGTGGGGGCAAAAAATAATAATACAAAATTGTGAGTATGCTACTTTTCTCTCATCATAATCTAAATAATTAAGATTTAAAAGTGCTTATAACAGCTTTTTCAGCATGTAGATTGGACTGAAACAGAGCAAAGGATCATGGTCTATGTAGTTCTCACTGTTTTTTTAGCTGCTGCTGCACCAAAACAATTAATTTAAAAGAAGAGACTTGAGATTCGAGACATTGTGACGGCCCACAATATAATTGTGAGACTTTTGACGATACGATATCACAATATTTAAATTATTGTTACATCACTAGCGTTCTGTTAAGTTATGATGTGGCTATTATGATTATTACCGAACGTATGCACCTTTTGTTTAAAAGAGACGAAAATAAATACACTGACAGTATTTTGAATGTTGAAAAACTATAATACCAAATCATAAGGTGAGTGGAAATGGTTAAGGGTTCATATTCGTCCGTAAAAGTCTGCTGTAGGGTGCTGTAAAGTCATGGAAAATTGAAAAAATTATGAAAAAGTTTTGAAATTTTGTCAGTGAAGAAGAGTGGGCACCCTGATCTGTGCATCAAAACAGACAGAAGGCTTGAATTAAACAAAGACCAATGCATTATCAGTTAAATAAATCTCTGTAAATGTCCGTCTATGTAGTTGTCTGAACCAGCCAAAACCACACATCGTCTTGTTAGTTTGTCTGTACACTCCTTGTTTATTTTTAGCTCTTGTATTACCCAACATTGACCGCCCTGTTATTAAAAAGTTTGTTAAGTAATTTTAACTGACAGCAAATCATTAGTAGACGCAAATTAAATCCGAAGATGTGGGAATATCCTATAAAGTGTACGTGTGCGCGTTAGGTAATGGTGCATTCCTGGGAGGATTTGCTGATGCCGACTGGACGTGTGATTACCTGCTCATATGAAGCCGGTTTTTGCCATTGCCGCGGTGCTCTGAGACAGCTCCGTGCCCTGTGGCTAATAATTACGCTAACAACGGCTGCACCATCAGCTTCAGATGAGCCCCTTTAATTGGCACAGGAGCGGCGTAAAAAGGCCTTGTAGCGGGGACCATATTGCAAGATTCGCCAGCTAGCTTTGTTAATACAGACCTCACAACGATGGCGGGATATTAGGGGAATAAAAGTTGTGTCTGAAGTTGTGAACGCCAATTAAAGAAAGCAGAAGTTTCTTTCTTTCGCACTTGGATACTTGAAAGAGTTTTTTTTAATATTTATTTTTGAAATGCTGAGAAAAATGCAATGTTCCTTTTGTTTACAGAGCCAAGATTTCTGTATTTCTTTATTTTTTTAATCTATATATTATACAAACAAACATGAACAGAACAAGAGATGCATTACTGGCCTAAAAAAATGATGATAACAATAAATAAATAATAAAAGGGGTCAGACAAAATAGGTTTTCACAATAGCACGGCGATTAATTTACATTGGATTTTGGTTTGATGCCAGCAGAAATTTTGCCATCGCAGGTAAACAAACGTTGCCAGTCCCTTTTACATTCTGTTCGAATCCAGACTGGACACTAGAGCATTGAAAATTCTCTGTCCAAACTTGACGCTCCAACCACAGCCGCGAATTTTTAGCACGTGTCTCTCAAATGCAGAAGACATCTCCTCACCAAAATTCACGTAACTTTCAGAACAAACCTTCTAAGGCTACGTTCAGACTGCAGCCTGGAGTGTCTGAAATCTGATTTTTCCGACCCTATGCGACCTGTATCTGATCTTTTAATGACAGTTTGAACGACACAGATCTGATTTATTGAAATGTGACCCAAGCCACTTGGATATGTGCTCCTAAAGCTGATACATATTTGATCTTTTGACATGCGACTTCAGTCTGAACGGTCAGGTCACATTCATCCCACCTACACGTCACAAATGTACACAAAAGGTCTTCTCATCATACGAAAAAGGATTTAAACAACGCATTTTCAGCAATACAAGCATTCACCGTCCTGTTTAGGTGTTTGATTTTCAACAAAAAGGTGACACTGACATAGACTACGTTCAGACTGCAGCCTGAAGTCATCCAAATCTGATTTTTTCACCTCTATGAGACCTGTATCTGATCTTTTAATGACAGTCTGAACGACACAGATCTGATTTTTTTCAACTGCGACCCAGGTCACTTGGATATGTGGTCATTAAACCGATACATACCCGATCTTTTGAGATGGGATGGCCAGGTTGCATTCATCCCACCTACACGTCACAAATGTACACAGACGTTCTTCTTGTCAAATGAAAATTAATTGTGTATGAACTCTGTGCCAGTGAAGCAGTGAAGCACATAACAATCCCACCACTCTTGGCTACGACTCTGCACCCACACGTTCCTTTCTACGGACCATGAACGACAAAAACCTCGTCCTTCTCCTTCTCAATCTCCTCCTTAAAATAAATAAGCTGTACATGTTCTGACTCCGGTACGACAAAAACTTTAAAATCGCCAGGTGCTCAATGCTCGCGTCCATGTTTAGACGACTTTTGTAAACACTGAGCACTCCTGTTGCACGTGATGTTGACGTATCCTCCATTGCACATGCGGGACACTTTTGGGGCTTTTAAAGTTCACACTGGAGTCACATACAAGTCACATTTTATTGGAAATGTGAACGACCTCGCAAAAAAATCTGCTTTCACAAAAAAAAATTGCATTAAGCTCTACAGTCTGAACGTAGCCTAACTTCTTTTGCCTGAGATAAATACTTACTTAGTACTTCGAGTGTTGATTCTGTAAAAGTCTGCAATATTTCCCCCTTTTTTGTGTGTAAGCAGCCGTTCCAGATTCATTTGTCTTTGTAAAGTTTTGTGAAAGCGTGTAGTTCTGGCTGGTCAGATAAAAACAATTTGACGTGGCTGTCAGTTTAAATTCAGCTTTATGTCATTTGGCGTGTATGTTCATTGTATTTAGTTCCCTCCAGTGTATTGAAAAACTTGAGAAAGCAGGAACCAAACCAATGAGCTAACACCGTTAACCCTGTGTACCATTGTCCACTCAAAATATACACAAAAGATGCAACAAAATGTGAGTAAATGGATGCATATTTATGACATTTACTCAGTCTAAAATGGCCCCAGTTTCTACTTTCTGTCTACAACCGTCAGCCTTGTAATAAATTAATTTTTATACTATAGAGGCATAGTACCTGATTTTCTTAAAAGCAGAACTAGTTTGAAGAGGTTTTGCCATCACAGCAACGCTAAAGTAAGTAAGTCTCTATTTATATAGCGCTTTTCACAGACATTTTTTGTCACAAAGACACTTTACAGAGCATTATTCAGTATTATTCATTCACTCTATACCTAGTGATGGTAAGCTACAGTTGTAGCCACGGC